AAATTAAAATCTAATAAATTAATAATTAAATTATTTTAAAATAATAAAATTTATTTAATATTATAATAATAATTTTAAAAATATAATTATAAAAATAATTAATTTTATTTTAAATATAATATAAAGTAATTATTTTAGATTATCTGATGGTAATTACAATAATATTTAAAATTTAACCTTAATTTTACTAATTCTAGATATAGGTTAATTTCTTTTTTACTAAATAATTTATATGGTTTTTTATATTAAAATCAAATTATAAATATAAAATGTTTATTATATAAAATTTTATTTTATAAAAATAACTTAAATAAATTGAGTATTAATTAATCACTAATTTAGCATTTATAAATAATATTATTTAGATTTTGATATTATTGATAATTTATATTAACTTCTAATATTATATATTTTTTTTAATTTAAATTTAATAAAGTTAATCATAATACATTATTTATTCTAGTTTTAAAATTTACTATAACTAATATTTTATTTTATAGTAATTACTTAAATTTTTCTTATAAAAATACTTTAAAATTAACTATATATTTAAATATTAAATCTCTATTAGTTATAATAAATAATTTATTAATAAATTACTGATAAAATAATTGATTTTATTACTATACTTAAAAATAAATCCTTTATAAAGAAATAAAAAATTTGTTTAAGAAAATCAAATTCTGAAAATTTTTTAAAACTAAAATACAATAAAAATTAAAGCCTGATTTTTCTAATAAAATTTTCAAATAACTTTTTAATATAGTTTTAATTTTAAGAATTAAATACTGATTTTAATTAGTAATTTTATTTCTTATTTTTTATTATTACCAAAGTTAAAATTTTTATTAAACACAAATTATACTTTTTAAAATCAATTATAAATAATATTTTACTTGTCAAATGGATTTAATAACCTCTTAAAAATATGATCCATTTCAAAAATTTCATTTTATATATCCAAATCAGAGTCTATATTTCATAGAATCTCACAGGAAATCACAGAATATAGCTGATAATTTTCAAAATTTTGGCCTGATTTAGGATTTGCAATCATCGTAATGCTGGCTGACATTAAGTTTGGCCAGAATTTGCGAATCCATAATTCTGGCCAAATCACAGAATTTCACAAAATTAATCCAAATACTAGTTAGATTTCACAACAAAAAAGGTTTAAAATCACTTCAGCAAATTTAATTATGACGAAAAAGTAGGATTTTTTTGATAAAAAATGATAAATAATTATATGTTTTGACCCTTTTATAAAATACATAAATTATAAAGCTTTGAAAACAAAAAAAAGGGAATTTTCAATCTACAAGTTAAAATTAATTTATTTTATTCTGTGTGGTTGGAAGGTATATTGCTGTACCGTTTAATATATTTGATAAATATAAATAAAATTAATAAATCTTTATTCATGCATGTTAGCCCTTTTTTTTAGAAAGTTGTTATAACTATAATAAAATCATAATGAAGTTTTTATCCGCGCCCGAGTATGTTGCTCTATTCTTAGCTAATGTATTTTTTATTAAAAAATTTTTTTTTTTATTATTACTTACTGAAATTAAAAAGGACATTCTTATTCTTAAAATATATAATAATTTTGTTGTTTATACTCCGCAGCTAATGATCATAAATGAAAATTTTCTTCGAATTTAAAGTTATTATGGGGACCATTGCAGATACGTCATATTTCCAAATTTATATTAAAATTAATGCATTGCCAAAATAACGATCTTTTTTTTTTTTACTCAAAAGCGTTAATTTGTATCATGTGTACTACACGTGGCACTGTAAGGGGGGGTCCACGGTTTTTTTTTATGAAGTGAGTAGTAAATAATTTATGATGGATATTTTTAACACCATTATGCGTAGTTTCTTAATATAAAGTTATAAATAAATTTGATTCGAATGATTTTACTTATGAAAATTTTCTCTCTTCCGGATTTTATTTTTTTTTGAATAAAAAAAAAAAAACAAAAAAAATTTCATATTTCTATTTTAGGTTAACATTTTACTTGTCAACTTTACAAACCAAAAATTTTTATTTTAAATATATTTGGATTTCTTTTTTTTTTTTTTAAAAAAAAAAAATTCCTCTAAAAGTTAAAAAATATTAAGACAAAGAAAGATGTTTCATAATACATATTTGAAGTTAGCAAATGCGTTAAGTTCTCCGCTAAGGAGACCTCCTTCATTAAATTTTAAAAGATTTTTTTCACCGATATCAACATCACGACCATTTTTCTTTTCACAGCAACCTTTTCCAACTTCAACCCCTAAAAAACAACGGCGAAATTTTTTTGGATTCTCCGATATCTTATCATCAAAAAAATCCTATAATGGACATAAAGTTGTTGGGTTTGTGTCATCAAATGGTATTAACCCTTTTTTTGTTAGGTGCAAAAAAAAACATATTTCCATTTTATTCATTAATATAATATATATTTTTTTGTTATACCATGAAATTTAGATATACACAAAAACAGCTTTATGATGTTGTATCAAATATTGACGAATATCATCTTTTCATCCCATACTGTACAAATTCAGAGGTGTTAAAGTCACATTCTGTTGATAAAAGGACCAAAATTCTTACAGCAGCGTTAGGTGTAGGATTTAAAGGATTTTCGGAGACGTATTTATCTGAAGTCACTTGTGAAAGGCCAAGATTTGTCCAGGTAATTAAACAGATAAAAAAAATATATATACATAGAATAAACATATAAATTAATTCACCTTCCAAAATTAGGCGGTGGCATCGTCGGATGCACTATTTAGCCATTTAATATCCGTGTGGCAATTTGCACCACATAATGAATTACCGTCAACACATTGTTATTTGGACTTTCATTTAGAATTTGAGTTCACTTCACCTTTACATGCTCAAGTTGCTAATGTTTTCTTTGACCAAGTTAGTGCGTTGATGATCGATGCTTTTGAGGAAAGGTGTAACCAAGTATACGGACCACCTGCTCCTTCTATCGAAGATTATTAAAAAGAACAATTAAATTAGACAAGAATTTTTAATCCTTGTAAAGATTTTTTTTAAAAAAAGACATTTTGATAAATAAATTCCATGGATTCTTTTTAAAAATGTTCTTTTAGTATTCAGCTTACAATGAACTTCTAATAATGATCTGCTGTAATTAAACTAATAAATTCTTTTCCTTCCAAAAAAAATTTAAGTGGAAAATGTTTTTTAATTTTATTAATTTGCCTAAAAGGAGTAAATTTTTTGAAATATAAGGGACCAAACTTTATTTGATTTTGTATACATTTTGGTGATTTTTTTATTATTGCAATGAGATAGTGTTACTATTTTAAAACGGTTTTTAAATTAGTTGCAGATTTGTTGATTTGTAGATAAATCAGGATAAAGATTTGCATGTACAGTATATGACATCATTTTAACTTAATCGCGAATTCCCTAGATTTACATTTACTTTTTTGGTACCTGATTTCATTGAAAAAATTTTTTTAATTTTAGAAATACTTTAAAAAATGACAAACTATTTTTTCTATTTATTTTTTTTTATTACGTAATTTATTAATGATTATTAATCATTTATTTGTAACACTAAAATAGAAAACTATGAATGGACAAGATTACGTGAGATTTACACGTCTAATTTAATATACTGTACTTACCAGAATTGGATCAAAAGTAAAAATTTTGAAAGTAATTTATCACCGAATTTTTATTGTAAGTTTAGCGTGAGGCGCAAAATCAAGAAGAAAGAAAGGTTATACACAGTCTCTAAATTATGTAATTAATGTATAACTAATGAAATAATGAATATATTCTATATTTGTCTATAATTCTATGAAATGTGTGTATATTAAATTGAATTCTATAATTAAAATATTAAATAGTATGAGTAATTATTATCTTAGATAATTATGTATTAATTAATTCTAATCTATAATATAATTTTTCAAAATTTTCACGAAAGTGAACATTTGAGTCCCTCCAAGTTTTAGCAGCGATATAAGCCAGCTCACAAGACAACTCTTTAGATAACTCTTCTTTTAGATTAATATTTATTAATTCAAAAAACAGATCAAACGCTCCTTCCAATTTTATGAGACGTTTATTTAATAACGATTTCGTTTTTTTAAATGGTGGGGTTTTAATTGTGATTTTGATTCCATTCGAAAATACTAAATCAAAATTATTATAATTTGGAGATATTAAATCGGTTAATGAAGGTGCGCTGAATGTGCGTGTTGATGAAGGTGAGTTCTTAAAAAGATCCATTACTCTTTTAAGATATCTCTTAAGTGACCTTAAAATCTGATTCATTTTGAAAATTGTGTTTTATAATCGAAAATTTTAAAGGTAAATCAAACATTTTCTTTTTTTTTGGTCTTGAGAAGGTAAAAAATTGTCTATATGTCTATAAACTTTTCTTGATTTTTTTTTTTTTTGGTCTTGTGAAGGTAAAATTGTCTATGCGTCCATAAATTTTTTTTGATCGGATGTAGTCATAAAAATTTTTTGAGTTGCCTATTTATAATTTTTTTTTTTTTCATTAATGCATGAATAAAGCAATTAAAAGACATTCTTGATTAATGTTTCTTGGAAAGGTATTATACTTTGCATTACATATCATACTTTATATATATATATATATATATAATGCATTACTTTCATCAAGTCACCTTCCTTCTATGAAGGAATAATTGTTCTTTTATTGTAAAATAATAGACATTTGCTAATATTAACATTAAATTAACGTTAACAATGTCGGATGATGAAATTCTATTTATTACATTCAATGTTTTTATCGCAAAAAAAAAAAAAAAATCTACTTTACATTTAAACATTGACATATATGGCTTAATTTCATAAAAAAAAAAAACGTGGTCGTTTCTATGATAACATAAAAAAATCGGAACTGTTAAGAATATAAAAAAACAAAGAATTCACAAAACGTAATGAACGGAATGCGGAAGAAATATTCTTGGAAAGAAAGAATCGGATGTGGCAGTACGTTTAAGCCCGTCCACATGACGTTTAAACACACAATTATATAATTTTTTTAATTATACAAAATCCTTTAATTAGAATATTGATAAAGAGATCACGAGGTAATTACGGAATTTTTGAATGAATCCATTCCAAGCCTTTTGGAATTCAAAAAGGTTAAGATTACCTCATTACATATTGTAGCACATGACATGTATCGTGGCTTGGTAGTTCCACCTGATTATTGTATATCATATTACCAAATTTTGATATATTCTAGAACGTTATAAAACCCATTCGATCTTCTTACAATGAATACGAGTGACGATTATTACGACGTGCGTTTAATGTGGTGGAAGTTTCATCCCATTATTCCTTGCGAACAATTTCTTTAGAATGGATATTACTAAGTCGAGAAGTAGATTATGAAGTTGTATGTGCATACAGTACATTATATAACCATGAATAAAATGAATCTATAAATATAACAATTATTTATAAAAGTCTAATAAAGGCTTTTAATAGCCATCCTTGTACTTACTTAATGTAATTGTTTGCTTTCGTATAAATGTTATCGTTCCATTCCTATTCATCCTTTCAGATAGCTAAGGTAGTTAAGAAAGAATTTGAAAAAAAAGAATGTTGCGAATATACACGAACTTTCTATTTATATTAAATTGAATTTAAATAATTTGAATACGATTGAAATTCTGTCTACCTTAATTTTACCTAATCTTGATTTTTTTTTCTACTGTTAAAACCTCTTTTATTAGTTTGAAAAATAGAATGGATTTTGCCAAATAGATTCAAACAAATTCAAAATAATTAAATATTTAAATTATTTTTATAATCAAATAAATTATTTTTTTTCAATAAAAAATGAAAGGATTTTATCCATATAAATATGGGGGCAGTCAGTAGAAAAGGGGGAAATTCACTTTTTAGCAAAATTTTTTATTGGTTCAATCTGCTGCTCATGGTCATGTGAACAAAACTAGCTTAATATCTAAAATTACTCAAAATTTGTCTGCCCCATATGTATCTTGCTGAAATAAATCCAAAAAGTATATTTATAACTAAAATTATATCTAAATTGACATTGTAAGTGAGATCAACTTTTGTTAATAAAAGTATTAATCAAGTAAAATTTTCAAATAAATATAAACAAAATGTTGAATTTCAGATTGATATTGATGATACTTTAGAAATAATTTTTGAGTTATTATGATAATATTATTCAAGAAAAAAGGATGATAATATTAAAGAAGATAATGATAAAAATAAAATTTATTTAAATTAAAAAACAAAATATTATTAGTAAAAAATTATTGAAAGATTTATATAATTTGTTAAAAAATAAATTTAATAAATTATGTTATACCTTTCTATTAAAAAAAATTAAAAATTCAATATAATAATGAATAAAATAGAAGAAATACTTTATTATCATCAATATATTATTAATAATAATATTAAATTAGAAGATTTAGAAAATATTTTTAATAGAAATATATATAAATAATTATTAAAAATTAATTTATTTAATGATAAAAAATACTATTTCTTATAATATATTTCAGATATTTAAACAAAAAACAGATGATTGTTAATTATTTCTTTTTAATAAATAATAATTTTAATTTTTTAATTGAGCAAAAAAAAATAAAATAAAATAAAATAATATATATTTTTTTTTAATTATTAGATTAATTTTATTAAAAAATTTGATACATTTATACAAACTTTTATAAATGAAATAAAAAAAAATAAATATTATGATAAATGTTTATTAATTTTTTTATATAATTTTTATAAATATATTTTATTTTAGATAGTAAAATAAGTTATAATATATTAAAAATAAAATAAAATTTATATATTCTTATATAGACTAATAAAATTCCATTATTTATAATATTATAATATTATAAATCATAATTTATAATTAGGTTATAGATTTTAAAATTTAAAAAGTTTACTTATAAAATATAAGTATTTTTATTTTTCTCTAAATTCTAAGAATAAATATATAAAAAAAATCATTTAAATTAGATAATATAAAATATATTCAATATAAATTATCTTTTTATAATTATATTATTTATTTTCTTAAAAAAAATTTTTGTAAATTAATTAATTTATTTTAATTGATTTTTTAATTGATATAATACATTTATTTTTTGAAATATGTCATAAATTGCTTTTTAAAATATCATCCTCCTATAATTACATATAATACATATTAGCTAACTTCAAAGATTTTTATAATATATACTTATTATTAATTACCCATTATTTTATATTTATTAATGTTTAAAAGTTTAAAGCTGAATTTCTTTATAGATTGAACAAGAGTTAAGAAAATATTTATTAAATAAAATAATAAATACAGTGAATATTATAACTTAGTTATTTCAATTAATAATTATTATTCTTTAAATATTTTTTTTTTTTGTCAATAATCATTATTGTGAAGCAAAAAAAAAAACTTCTAAAATTTTAATATAATAATCATAACAGTAATATCATAATGATATAATGTGATTTTGATTATTATTTTATAAATAATAATTACTTCTTTTTCTTTATGTTTTAAAACCTTATAAGAAATTGATTTTAAAGATCATAAAATATTTATATTTTTTTTTTTTATGTCTAAAATTTCATTTAATTTTATTTAATGTATTTTTATATTGTAATTATTATTTAAAATAAATATAAATACTTTCATATTTTTGATAAGTATATTAATTTAAATAGTAACTAAAAATAGTATTAAAAGTTATTTAAAAATGCGAATAATAAAAAAATTGTAAAGACATTAATATATTCAAAAAAAATTAAAAATATTGATTACTATGAAAAAATTCTTCTAATATTCATAAGATAAGTAGAAAATTTAATATATTACCTAAATAATTATACAAATAGATAAATAATAAAAATTATTTAACTAATACTTCTTTAAAATCCCTCAAATTAACATAAAGAAAGATTACTAAAGTTTCTGCAATTAGAAAATGTATTGTCAGATTGGATTACTAAATATAATAAAAGTAAAATACTGTTACTTAAGTATTAGTAGTTGCTAAAATATTTTTACTTGCCTAAGGTATTGAATTTTAAAATTTTTCAAATATCCAAACAAATAAATTTTCAAATAAATAGCTAATAGTTTCTTAAGTTGATATGATTTATCAAATCATTATTATACTACTATTATATAATATCTATCTAATAATCTAGAAGAAAAAACAAAATTTTATTAATTTTGTTTTAGATTTGTATACTCTATATAATTATACTTTACAATATATTAGAAATATGAATAAATACCTTTTACTTAATTTAGTAATAATTGAAATGTATAAAACTCATACAGTTAGTATTTAAATTATTAATAATAAAAGAAAAAACTTTACTGTTATTTTTGAATGTTTAGTTGATAAAATAAAATTACTCTAATGTGTATTTTTAAATTAAAAAAATTTCTAATGAATGCTTCCTTAAAGGTATATTTATTTGTATAAATATAAAATATTAGATCAATAAAAAGAAAATACTTTGATGAATTGAAATTTTTAAAATAAAAGATAGTCTTCAAATAATCAACATTTTCTTTTAATTCTTGATACATTTTATGAATATCTAGTTGATTAAATTAAACATGAATTTGCAAACAATAATATAAACTTAGCTATAATTTTGAGAAGTTAATATTTAAATTATAACTATTAGATATTGTTATTAATAAAAGTTTTAAGATGAAGGTAAATTTATTTTATATTAATATCTATATATATTTAAAAATAAATTAATAAATTTTAAAGGTTTGCAAATTATATAATTAATAGATATCTGAAGAAATTCATAATTTTACTTTATTAAAATATATTAAAAAACTATCATATTCATTGCTTACTAACTGGGTAAAGTTGTATGAAAATTTATTAATTCAGATTCAATTAATAGTTCATTTAAATATTACAGAATACCTATTAAAAATGACAATTCAGAAGATAATTTTAATTGTAATAGTTCATTAGAATAATAAATTTAAATTATTATTTTAAAACTTTTAATTCTTAAATATTAAATAAATAATAACTTTTTGAAGAATATAAATAAAAGAAACTATAAAAAAGTTTAATAATGTGATAATTTTTTATTCTATAATAATGTGATACAAATTTATTATATATGTATCATAAAAATCTCTTAAATTAGCCAATATATATTACATGTATTTACAGAAAGAGTGTATTTTAAAGAGCAATTTACAGTATATTATGTATATTTATAAATAATTCTAAGAATAGTTAATGATATTATTT